CGCCGGCGCCCGGGGGAGCCACGCCGGCGCCGGTGGCGACGCCCGGGCACCGAGGATCGGGAGAGAACGGAGTTCCAAAGAGAGTGGGTGGGTTTTTTCGTGGAGATGTCAAGTTCCTTGATTTTTTCCCTCTTCCCGGCAACTTACCAAGTGGTATGTTCATTCAAGTGAGTCGGGTTCAAAGGAGGGCGTTGCAGCCAAGACTCAAGAGTTGTCGCATGCAATCATTGCGAGATGTAGAGCCTGCAGAGCTATCTCACATGGTTCAATCAGTGAAGTTTTGCTTGTTGGTGATGCTAGATTCTTTGCAGGCCTTTGGTTGCGTTCTGTCAAATCTAGGAGACTCGCTGCAACGCAGTCCACTGGCCCAAATTGGCCTCCAAACTCGAGTGTGGAGCCCATCTCGACGGGTTGGTGCAGGAGTCCAGTCTGAGAACAGAAAAGAACCATTTCATCTGTGAGTCGTCCATAGAGTCGTTCATCCGAAACGTCCAGCTCGAAAGTTTGGGGCTGAACCTTCAGAATCGTTGAGCTCGACTTTTGAGCTTCACTTTTGAGCTCAGGATGTTCGGTTGATCCTTTTCATTTCCCATTTCGACTCTGGATGGAGAAAATGATGCGCTCTGACTCACCTCCACATTGAAAGGGGCAGCATTGGGTGGCCTTGAACATCAAGTGCACCAGAATTCCAACTCTGATCTGTTTTTCCTTGCCAAGGAAGGCTGTTTTCAGCTTGAAATTGGCATGGTTTGGTTCTTGAACACACTGGCCGGTTGCACCTGCAAGTCACACCGTCGACAGGTTCCAAACCCTGGAGGCTCTAGTAGGTGCTCAACAGTCCCCAGCTGAGTACAAGAAGCTATTGATGAGCATGTTCCATTCCTCACCCGGTGTTGCAGGTGAATTTATCCAAAAGCATCTCCATCTCAGGCTGCCATCGGCTGCCGCCCAAGCCGAGCGTGCCCAGCAGGTGTTGGCACAAGCGGCGCAGGCAAGGTGTCTTTGAATGCAACGGCTCTTATAACCAGTTTTGGTAGGTGTATTGGTCACAGGGTTTTGCTGAGGCCAAGACTATTTTACTTGGTGTTTGAATGTGTTTGATAGATTGTTGTATTTGGAGTTTGGTAGATGACAGTTCTTAGCCAGCATTCTTTGCTTTAAGGATTGATTGACTTGGGGGGGGACCGGGGTGGCCGGGAGGCACCAGCAGTTTGCCTTGTGAGAAGTATCGTCGCCATGTTCCGTGTCGAAGCAAAGCTTGGATGAGCCCACGCAGTCGGATGTGCGTGTTTACAAATTCACCAGAGGCGAACTGGGGACGCTATGATCAATCTCTCCTCCCCAGGAAATGCAGGTTTGAAGAGGAGCAGATTCACGACAGAGCAAGCATTATTGAGATCTTTGAAAGTGTCAGTCTTCGATTTGTGCCAAAGGGAACACTCCAGAACGACTGCCTCTAGTAGCTTTCTTGTTACTAGTAGCTTCTTGCTTCTAGTAGCGATGCCAGGAACCCCTAGCTTGCTCCCTCCATGGTTTCAACGTGGTTTCACGGCGATGCAGGTGGTGCAGCAGTGTCGTCAGTCGCTGACGGCCTCGCGGCCGACGCTGTTCGGGGCGCCGTGTGGAGGCCTAAAGCCTGGAACGGATGCCTGGGACGAAGGGGGGAAGGACAAGAGGACTAAAGAGGGGTTTTATGTGGAGATGGTGGAGATGGGTGTTCTTGTTTGTGGCTTGCAAACTGGCAGAAGGATATCACCCACACGAAACCACTGAGGCCACAGCCAGCACAGCCGGGCGCTGCAAACGCCTGCTACGCTACACCTTTTGTGGCAATGCCACAGCTGCTCGCTTGCAAGGTAGTTGGTTTGGCATGGTTGCACAGGGAGTGTTGCCTCATCTACAGGCGCTGGTTGAGGTTTCAGGTGAGTTTGTCTCAGACGACTGCGGGTAGAAAGGTCCCCTCATTTTGAGTCAGCCACCCTTAAGAAGAGGATTGGAAGGTGTGAAATGCAAAGCTACCTTCAAAATTGAATTACTACGCATGTCCATGAAATGCTCAAAACATGCGTGGGAATGGTTGATTCACCGACAGAGGGGAATAGCTTGGCCCATATCTATGGCAGCACAAGCTCGTGGCATCGGCCGGTGACCGCATCATGTGAGTCTTCACGCCCGTGGGGTAAGCAAAAACCACCAAAACGTACCCGGAAGTCTCTAGCCGTTTTGTCCATTTCTCCTTCTTTTCTTCGGTGGCTCAAAGACCAACACCTTCCGTGGCTTTTGTAGCTTGCGACCCCTTCCCAAGCTTCTACTTGGAACAGGGCTGAGTGACATGACTGCCGGCCACAGGTGAACTCGAGGGTCATAGAGGGTCAGAGATCTTTTTGTTCTGTGTTGGGGTCATTGTGCATAGATTCTTTTGTGTTCTCCCCGGTGGTGTTCTCCCTGTGTTCTCCGTCGGGTGGTTTTTTGTGCACGACATCGGTTCATTCAGGTCGATGCCTGGTAGCCCACCCTGGCACCCGCGGTGGGGGAGCACAAATCTTGAGAGGGAAACTGGTTGAGATGGAGAAAGCATGAGGTGAAGAACAAAAAAGTGGTCTTTTCCGAGATGTTCTTTTTGGTCTGTTGATGTCTGTTGATGTCTGTTGTCTGGAAATGTTCACCTGATATTTGTTGTTGGTGTGGAGTGTCGGACCATTCGACCCGACAATTGTTGTGCTACATTGGTGGGGGAGGAGTTCTCATGGAGTTCAGAGAGACACCTTGTGCTGCATGGGATCCTTCAACACTGCTGCAGGTGGTGAACAGTCGAGTCTACCAGAAATACATGGGCGAAGGAGGGTTCTTAGAATCATTTGTTGCGTACTTGCCCAATTGGGAGCAGCAGCGACCAATGTCGTCCAGAATATTTGGAAGCTAGCTGGAGGTCCATCAGATCCCTTGTGTTCAATCCTTTTTCCCACTTCTCGGTTGGTACGAAGGCCTCTACTTGCATCGTTGTGGTCCCCTGATGAAGGCCGGGCTCAATGGCAAGTGTGCTTTCCCCCTTACCACTGGGGTTCCTGGTCATCAGAGAAAGCAGGATTGGAAATTCAAGAGATCCAAGCACATCGCCAAAATCGGAGATACTGATCACTTTCAATTCATTGCTGAGTCAAAAAACCCACAGACCAGTCATCTTCAGTTCATTAACGCCTATAAAGGGCGTGAACACTGCACCCTACCCGCTCTGAGGCCAGCGGCTTCCACTGAAGTCTCGGTGCCCTCGCCGTCGGCGCTACCGGTTGGGGCCGTGCCGACTGGGCTGGGAGCCTTAGAGGACCGGTCCCGAGTCAAAATGACCTACGGCGTGTTTGCTGGGTGTTTGAACGCTAAGCTAAGCTGGCTTTTTTGGGCAACGAATGTTCAACTTGGCTCAAAAAGTACGGTAAGAATTGGACGGAAACTGCTCGTCAGAGGTGGTGTCTTCCTTTATCATAAAGGAACTGAAGATGTGTAGGGCTTCAGAGTGAATCAAGGCAACATGGTGATGTTCCTTGTGGAAGGCGCTTTGAAGGAAGACCAAGTACGGAGAGCAAATGTTAAAACACAGCGTCCAAGCTCTACTTACGCAATCATTACTGCATCGCCAGCCCAGCAAGGAAGGAAGGAAGGAAGGAAGGAAGGAAGGAAAGGTGGTTGATAACCTTGCCGGAGGGCTTTAGGGGGTTTTCTGAGCTATGTGCTACGTTCTTGCAAGCACAGTGCGGCAAGTGATGGAGAAGACAATGCCTTTCCTCACAGTCATCTTCCGTCTGCGGAATACCAAACTGCTTGGATTGCAACTGCTCTCAGGATCACACAAACGGCAATTCTACCCTGTCCGGAAAAGTTGTTGAGGGGAACAAGCTATCACGAAGGAGTGTGAAAAATCTACTTGCCACGAATGGTATGAAACGGTTTCTTTCACTTTGTCAATAAAGTCATCCTCAAGCAATACCAGAAAGAAATCTGTCGAACCGTCACAATTGTGCGTCACAATGTCTTCAGAAGCCTGTGTATTCCAAGGGAGCCCTTGCTTCTAGGTTGGAGGCCGCTTCTACGTTGGCCATTCCAAGGGGTTCCTTCTGTCCAGCCGATCCCTGTTTCAGGTCGGTGGCTTCAGAAGCACCGACCGCACTGCGCGCACCAACCGCGCCGATGGCGCCACCGGGACCTGTGGCGCAGCTGTTCCCCCTGAGGCCGCGTTCCGGACGGAGAGCGCGTGAAAGAGACCATGTGGATGGATGAAAGACCATGGGGTGTTTTTGGAACACCCAATTGAATGGGAAGAGTGATTGTGGTCAGCTCTTGTTGCAATCCTCGAAGACCATGTTGATAGCTTGTGATGTCAGCTTCGTGGGTTGAAGGCTGAGGTTGAACAACATAGATCCGAGAATAAGCCGCCAAAACCCCAGATTCTGATCCTGTTCTTTGCTTTTTCAGAGCGAGTCGTCGCACTGAGGCCAGGAGCTTCCACTGAAGTGGCAGCGCCCTCGCTGTCGGTTTCTGGGGCTGCGCCCGTTGGGCTGGGAGCCTCAGAAATGGACGTGAAAACCCGACCAAACAGGTTTCTCGGTGCTCACGCGTGGCTTTTGGAGCATTGCCCCAGAGGGCATACCCTGCCAAACCTGGATCTGTCTCCCAGAGGTCAGGCAGATGCAGGCAGTCAGATCTCAGCCCTCCTGAGGTCAGCGGCTTCAGCGGAAGCACGAGCACCCCTGGCGCCGACGGCAGCGCCGATGGCAGCGCCCCTGGCAGCGCCACTGGCAGCGCCACGGGCACAGATGACCGTCTCTGCTTCGCAGCTTTTGCCCGGCTCTCCACAGCGCCTTGCCCTGTCAGTGCAAAGTGATGGAAGTATTGTGAATCACCTTGAGGTCGGGGTGTCCCCACGAAGTCACTAGTCACTATGTCATCTTGGGGATCCAAGGCAACAGTCCCTCTTGACAAGACTTGCAGTGGTCAGCATTGGATTTACTGCCATTGGGCCCCCCCTTCATCTCCCAGACGGTGCACAACCAGGGTGACACCCAGTCACCCTTTCGATAGATCCCCCGTTTTCAGTTTTGGACTTCATGTGTATGAGGCAAAAAGAGTCAAGTAAGGGTCCTGAGCTCATGGTAAACATACCCAAGCCGCACCCCGTCAACGAGATATGACGACACTTAACACGAGCTCCGTCTCCTTTTTTTGCCGAATCATGTTCTTTTGGATGAACGAAAAGGATGTCAGATGTCGGAAAGAACAAAAAGCCTTTAAGCGTTGTTGCACCCATCATCATCGCCCACCAACCGCGGAAACACTTGTCAACCTGATGAACAACGGTCCGTCTCATGACCAAACTGTGCATGAGTTTTGTGTGGGTTTAGCTGCGGTGAGTTTCGAGCAGAACAGCTTTGCCGAAGAAAAATGATCAATTTCATTCACTTCAGTTTCAGCTTGCCTCAGTCCCTTCCTTCACCAGCTAAGCTCTTCGCGAGATCTGTGAATTAGACTTTCTTCTGTTCGAAGGAACAGCAAAACCCGCTGCTAGTAACAAAGGGCATCGCTACGAACGGAGCAAGAAGCTACTACTAGGGGCGATGGCACTGGCCACGAAGCCGAGCCGCCGCTTCCCCACGCCGCCCAGGCCGCCCTCCACCATCACCGGTGCCATGCTTCGGTCCGCCTCGCACCCTCCGCCGCTCGGTGTCGGTCATGCCGCTTGGTGACTTCCCACCAAAAACAACTGGCTGTGGTGTCTTGAACTTCGGCTTCTTCGGTAAGAACTTCGAACGAAATGGGAGTTTCAACGAAGTTCGGGAAAGCCACCAGGCTCACCCAAACCACATGCGGCGTGTGGACGCATGCGCTGGTGTGGACGCAAGGAAGAAGCTCTCAGAGCACATGACGATGTTCGATCCACGAAGAAATCTCTCAGAGCACAAAGACAAGGTGCCTTTTTGCATGATTTGAAGGGAAAGCACTAAGCTAACAAGTGATGATCCTTGAAGCATCACTGAGCCACGACGCATCACCTACCATGTGCAGTGGGGTCGGGAAAGGTTTGCCATGGGGTGCGCAATAATCCAACCTGGTGAATATGTTGTATTTTTCCCGGTTCCTGCACAGCAAATCCAAGAACGTGTCAGAAAAGAGTTGCAGCAATGATCATAGTGTCGTCCGGGCAGCTATGGCTGGTCCTTGCCGATCTTGCAGTTTTACGTCTGTGTTGGGCAAAGCGGGCGCATTTAGCTGATCTGATAGATGAAGCGCATTATTGGTGGACTGGTCTGATGTTGCGTGCTGCGGTGACAGCCGTCCGTGGCGTGTCCTTGAAACCTATAAACCCGCTATCTGAGGTGCAATTCCCCAGATAGCTGCAGGCTGTAGGGCCTTTAACTTCTCAGGATGTGGCTCTGGATCGGCGTTTTGGCTTTGCGGCCTGCAGCGGCACCAGAACCCAGGCCCGAAAGCGCACACATGCAGCTCTTCTTATGCTTCAACAAAACCCCAATAGCTCACACTATCTGGGGAAAAACTATGTAGCCCCAAGTCACCTGCAGGATTCAGCTCTTGAGCCCTTCGATGAACGTCCCTCGCCGGGGTGGTTGCCAAAGGAACTCAGCCGTGCTTAATTTTGACATGCGTGAACGATCCCAAGCCATCAAAAGGAAATACCCATAAGAGTGGTAAGCAGCCAAGAAGGTGGTTCCCCTCACCCCATGGGTTCTTGCTGCAGTTTCGCGGCACCTGACCAATCCGAGGATGTCCGGCCCGCTGCTGGCCTCACCGCGGGGCGATCCCAGGAGATAGCGAAGGAGATTCAGGGAGAAGCAACCTGTGAATCACAGTTGGTTGCTTCGGAGTATGGTTTAGAACTGAAGGTTGTTTGTTTCTATTGGAGTTGTTGCCTTGACAGTTTCAGGCATCGAAAGGAGTGGGAACGGTGTGGTTTCTACACAGTTTTTTTCCACAAAGGTACCCTGGTTGCATGACATGCAAGTGAGTGAACTGACTTGGTGTGTATCAATTCCTGGTTAGGTCAGGTCCCAGTCATTCTTGAGTGACGACTGGCCGTGATCCTTCCCATCAGGGCAGGAACTCAACCACAAATGGGCAATGGTTCTTTGGTTTCGGAAGGAACCAGTTGTGCCAAGTATCTCAAACATGGGTGGGCGCTTCTCAGCGCGGGAAGGGTCCCAAAAAGAGAACAAGTCATGGGATGGTGTCAATTTTCATGGCACCAAATTCGAGTAGAAGACCCGCTGATCCAAGAGAGACCCAAAAATCTTGCACCACTCTACGTCCGGGGCAAAAGCGCTCAGGGTGTTGAAACGACGGTCGACACCAAGGCCTCCCAGCCACACTGAGCCGCAAGGTGCCACTGGTGAGAAAGCACGGGTGGTAGCGCAAGGGCCTTCGGAGAAAGACTCGGGTGTTTTGCCACGAAGAAGACTCAGGTGCTTGCCGCAACCAGCTGCTTCTGGTGGCAGGTCATTCCATTTGGGGTTTGGGCATCATACGTCATCGCTTTGCGGCAATCAACCATCCAAGATATCCAGGATAGGATCTCTATGAGGATTTGGGGCTCGCGAGTGAAATCAAGGTCTTGTTTCTTCGGATCCTCCTAGAGGATACATCAGCGCACAGGCAGCGCCGTATGCTCTCAAAGGCGCTTTGGAGATCTCCTTTTTCATCAGTTAAGCAATTTGTAAGCCACTTCGTCTATCAACCGCGCGTTGACGTGTTGCGTTGTCTATGCCAACACGTCATCCTTTCATGGCTCCCAAACACAAACGAGATCAACCAGCACAGAAGTGTGCAACGCGGGCACAAAGCTAAGCACAGGTAGCCAACACATATAGTGATACAATGAAAAGTTAAGTCCAAGCAGAAGACCGCCGAATCACTACCGCACGTGTTTGCGGCATGCGTCTGGGTTCATCTCCTTTCTAAGGCGATTTGGGGGTACTTTAATAGATTGAGCTGGCGTGCAGCAGGATCCTTGTCATCTCGAACAGACTTAAGAGTTAGTGGCATCGATTGATCAGTCTCATTCAAAACTGTGCAAAACATTGTGCAACAAAATAGACTTTGAGCCGCCAAACCTTCGCGGTTTAGTTGGAAACAGTCACAACTATGCAGGCGTTGTAAAGAGTATGGTGACCCCCGATTGAACTCCAAGAAACCCTTTCAATCGCCGGTTCAGCCGCCGTTGTTCAGGCCTGAAGAGCTGGAAGACATCATTCCTTTCAGACTGTGTTGTGACTTAAGTTGTAAAATTCACAGAATTTGGCGGGCAAAGCTTGGTTTTTGCTAGTTGCATGTGCTATGTATGGTTCTTGTTTGGAGGATAGACCACGTCGGTTCCCGACCATTGAGGGGGCCGGGGCCTTCGTCCAAGTGGCCGAAAGCACTCTATTCAGGTCGCGAATCACCCGAGGGCGAGAACGACCTCTTCTTGTGGCAGGAAGCGAGAGCCACGAGTTTTGGGTTGGACCACGAGTTGTTGACCCCGGTGACTTGATGGGCGGGCTCACAGGTTACTACGCCAAAATCCCGAAATTGGGTGCATGGTCAGCGGTCGTGTTGGAGAATTCTCCAGTGTTTGAAGCACAGGGGTCAACGATAGCCTTTGGCAAGACTCTAAATTCTAAATATAAGATGGTTCGCATCATGATGTTCCCGTTTGTTTCAGGTACTCCAGAAAAAGCAACCAGGAACAGGATGTCCAGAGATGACAACCGGTGAAAGGTTTATATCATTCGTGCCTTAAACCGTCTGGTTCTCTCATTGGCGGCGTTCAGGAGGATTTGCCCGGTCCAGTACGAATTCCTCGAGGTTGGTCGGAAGGGTCAGAAGGGCAGGTTTGTTTGGCCAAGTTCTTAAAATGGTTTATCGAGTATGTTCTGGGAGGCCAGGCCCTTGCTTTTATAAGGTGTAAATTTCATGCTCTTATGGTTGAGATATTTTCCTGAAGATTGACAGAGAGACTCCAGAGGAATGGATTCGGGCTGGTTCAGAAGGTGGAGAAGTGGAGAAGATCGTTTTATGCAAGAATTTCTCAAGGGGTTATTGGGGTATCCAGGAGAACTGGCAGAAGATGGGCAAGGGGTTTTCTCAAGACGCGAGGCATCAAGGGATTGCGGATGACGGAGTTTCGCGCAAGCTCAATCCTTCTCGAACACACCAGAGAGGCAGCTCCAAGTTGAATCGACTTTGTTGCGAATTCTCCTTTCTCGATGCTTGGAGCCTTACTAGTAGTAACAAGTGCCTTACTAGTAGTAACAAGAAGCCATAATTAAGTTTTTGAATCCTAATTAAACTGAATTCTAATAGCTTCTTGTTACTACTAGTAAGCTTCTTTCTCGATGCTTGGAGCTAGACTGTTTGGACCGGACAGCCGCCAAGTTTCCTCCCACGGTACCTCTTTCTCCAGCCAGGACGGTACACGGATTGGACATAGGTCCGCCATACGGAAAGGTCATCAGTCAGGCGAGGAGCGCCACACGACGCCCGCCCAGGCCCGTCGCCCACGCCCTCATGGGTGCGGGGCCCGGTGAGTCGAGAGGCCGGTGCCAGATCCACGTGTGGGAGGAGAGGTCCATGGACAGCGACGAAGAAAGAGGTGTGTTCCAACACTCCATGGGACTGGTGCCGATCAATGGACCCCCAGTCAACCACCCCAATGTGTGTCAAGATGCCAGTCCCATTTGCGTCGTAACACCATGGACGCTTGTGCGTTTTTTTTTGTGAACGCAAGACGGCTGGGGAGAGTGTTCACCTCACAATCCCGTTTGGACTGAGAGAAATTGTAAGACATCCAGGAAAGTGGTCGTTTTTGGTGCTGGGATTCATCCCCATTCAGAGGATATAAACTATAAACCTTCAAAAACAAAAGCACTTCCAATCTGCGCTCATTGTCTGATTGCTTGGAAAATACAATCGCCCTCCACATCCCAAATGTATTGTGGAATCCTGTGCATGCAGGGAAATGCTCAGCAAGCCCAACCAAAAGACAAACAGACAAAGAAGTGGACGACCTTAGGTCGGCGAGTTATTCACCCGAGGAAATGACAAGATGGAACCCACGAACCCGAATGCAAACACGATCGAAAAACTACAAAAGTCCAAATGACACTCTTGTAGGACACTCTTGTGAGACACTCTTCTGGGAGTAGGACACTCTTGTAGGACACTCTTGTGGGTCACTCTTGTAGGAAACTCTTATAGGACACTCTTATAGGACACTCTTGTGGGACACTCTTGTAGGACACTCTTGTGGGACACTCTTGTGGGACACTCTTGTGAGACACTCTTGAGCGACACTGTTGCGGGACACTCTTGTGGGACACTCTTGTGGGGCTTCCAGCTCCACAGATTGCTCCGCGTACTAAAGTTGCACTACAAAGTCGCCAGTGCTCGCCTGCATTTCGCGCGCTCGACGCGCACGATCTCCGCAGAGGGCTGCGCGGGCACCGGACAAATCGCACTCTCGCCTGCATTTCGCGCACTCGACGCGCACGATCTCCGCAGAGGGTGGTGCGGGCACCGGATAAATCGCACTCTCGCCTGCATTTCGCGCACTCGACACGAGCAGAGGTGTAGTCTGAGCTCAGTCCTGTCTGAGTTCTGCGCAAAAGACATGGTGTTTTTCATTTTTGGGGTTTCCAGTTTGAGGCTTTGCTCTAAGCGTAGAGGTTTCTTTAGTTTTTCATTTTGTCATATTGTCAGGAGAATCAGGCATGGACAGTTGCAAAAAATCATCCATCATCTGAATGAACTGGATGGAATGCTCAAGGACATGGTGGAAAAGGGGAGCCTCACCGAGGAACAGGGACGAAGCGTGCAGCACACGCTCCTAGACAAGATGAACAGTCTTAGGAGACAGCAAGTGCTTTTGGAGTTGTTTTGGTTCGAGATTGAAGGTCCTGCGTTTCTCAACTGCAGCCAGCATATATTTCAAGGTTTGTCTTCTTTCAAAGCAAACCAGAAGCATTGGTGCGGGTGGGACCCGTACTCTCCAGCGGCCAAGGGCAGTCCATGACGGACGCGACCGAAGCTTCGTCGAGAGTGGCTGCTGCTGCGTGCCCCGTCCCGAACCAAAAAAACATAGGTCATTGGTGCATGCAACTAGCTTTCGCGTACGTCTCCACCATCTGTTCCGTCTCTTCTTCGTTTGTCATGACTCTCTACATATTTCCGCCTTGTTCCGGAGACTGGAAGCTTTCAAGACCCTGCCTGAGGTCGGGGTTGGAGCGCAACAAAAGAGTGAGGCTTTGAAAGGGCAACATTTTTTCATCGATGCATGGGATGTGTATGGGCTCTTTGAATTTCACCCAGTCCCGGAATCCAGACTATCTTTGAGAATGAGCTTTGTAAACTCTGGGTTGCAATCAGTGCTCAAAAAAGAGGCTGAGTCGAGTGCAACTTCTGTCATGAGCCCGAGTGTTCGGTTGAAGCAATGGTTTCGTCTCTGGCTGGACTTCGTCGAGACACTCTTGTAGGACACTCTTGTAAGACACTCTTGTGTGACACTCTTCTGGGACACTCTTGTAGGACACTCTTGTAGGACACTCTTGTGGGTCACTCTTGTAGGAAACTCTTGTGGGACACTCTTGTAGGACACTCTTGTGGGACACTCTTATAGGACACTCTTGTGGAACACTCTTGTGGGACACTCTTGTAGGACACTGACAGTCTTATACGACACTCTTGTGGGTCACTTGCAGGACACTCTTGTGGGACACTCTTGTAGGAAACTCTTGTGGGACACTCTTGTAGGACACTCTTGTGGGACACTCTTGTGGGACACTCTTGTAGGACACTCTTGTGGGATACTCTTGTCGGACACTCTTAAGGGACACTCTTGTGAGACACTCTTGGGCGACACTGTTGTGGGACACTCTTGTGGGACTTCCAGCTCCACAGATTGCTCCGCGTACTAAAGTTGCACTACAAAGTCGCCAATGCTCGCCTGCATTTCGCGCGCTCGACACGCACGATCTCCGCAGAGGGTTGCGCGGGCACCGGACAAATCGCACTCTCGCCTGCATTTCGCGCGCTCGACACGCACGATCTCCGCAGAGGGTGGTGTGGGCGCCGGATAAATCGCACTCTCGCCTGCATTTCGCGCACTCGGCACGCACGATCTCCGCAGAGGGTTGCGCGTCAAGTCTCCAAAACGAGCGTTTCGTACGAGACTTCCTCAAAACTCACACGTCAAAGTCTGCAAAACGAGCGTTTCGTAGGAGACTGCTTCCAAAAGTCCAGCGGAAACACCCATCGGAGCACACACATCACGCAGCCCTGCCAAGCAGTTTCGCGATTCCAGCCCCTCCAAACAACATCTGCGCACACGCCAATCCCAATGTGACAGCAACATTCACCTCTACCACAACTCACAACCTCACGATTCCCTGCGCCTGCCACGAATCTTTCCGCGTCCACACGTCTTACGCGCACAAAGTACTGCGCCTGCCACGAAATGTCACCTCCGTCACACCTCGCAACCGCACGATTCCCTGCGCCTGCCACGAGAATCGCTGCGCCTGGCACGAAAAGTGACAATATCATCTCATGTGAGCTTCAACAAAATTTGCGCCACACCACGCGTTTGGAATGATTTCAACCCGTTCTGAGCACACTCCCATCCACCAAAATCGCCATTTCAGCTGAGACGTGTCACGAAAACCGAGCTTCGATGCCACACCCTGAAACGCAAATCCCAATGGCACGGCCACATCCAACACCCCAAAAGCACGACTCTCCAAACGCTAGTCCCAATGGAACTGCGCAGCAATCTGCGGATCTCACAAAACGCTGCGCCTGTGCAGCAAAATGCATCACGTTTCTTGCGCGACATGTCATTGTCATGCAAATCACAATGGGATAGCGGCGCAAACTGACACGTGACACATCCATGAAAAGTCACTTGCAAAAGCTTCCCCCAATGGCAGCGAATTTGAGACGCGACGACGACGACGACAAACGACGACAGACGACGACAGACGACGAGATGACGCAAGCCATGCAAACATAGCTCCAACCCCCAGACCCCCAACTATAAACGGGAACCCTTCGCTACGCACTCGGGAAAAAACAGAGTAGGAACAAGAGGACGCTACTAGTAGCAAGGGCATCGCCACTAGGAACAAGAACGCTACTAGGGGCACTAGGAGCAATGTTTGCTAGTAGAAACAATACATAAATAGAAACAATAAGCTACTAGGAACAAGTGCATCGCTACTAGTAACAAGTGCCTTACTACTAGGAACAAGAAGCTAGTAGAAACAATAGTAAAAGTAATTAAAAGTAATTAGAACCTAATTAAAGTTAGTAGCAAAGAAGCTACACCCCGAGGCCGAAGTGCAAAACAGAGACAGTAGCGTCCTTGCTCCTAGTAGTAAGGCCAGGAGCCTGTGGTGAGGGCTCTTTGTTTGCTTTTTCATAGGCATAGACGAGAGCTTTGGAAGAGCACCTAAAACCAGAACTTGAGTACTGACCCCTTGAAGACCACTGGCAGCCGCAAAACCCGGTCTCCCAACTCGGTCATGAAGTGGCCAGACACTAAGTAGAACTAGCGATGGCCTCCACCTAACAGCGATGGTCTCCAACCCAACCCGCGCAGGCTAAAGTCGTTGGTTTGCTTGCAGCTCATCGTCCAGTGTTTTTCTCCGACTCGGTTCCGAGGCAGCGCCCCCCCGTTCGGCGGCAAGCTCGAGGCTGGCGTGCGTCGGTGGAGGTGTTTCTCGTTTATCCAACAACACTCCGGTTTGAGGTAGCGACTTGAAGGAGGCCATCGCTACCAGGTTGACTATAGTCAATTGGTCTTTGATGTTTGTCATGTTTGTCTTGGTGTCGGAAAGCCTGAAACCTCCGCGGTATCCGCCATTTTGGGGGGCAGGGGAGGCTTTGTCTTCACTCTTTGCGCTACCAAACCAGCGGTCTTCAGGGGTTCCATGCGGTCCACTGAGAGATGCAACAACTTGTTTCGTGGGGTCGATTCTTGGGACTAGGAGGCAAGTTTCAGGTCAACCACAATAGTCCAAGACCTGAAACGGTGGTGTATTGCGAAATGAAAGGCGTGGTTGGTCCAAGACCTGATTCTTGGATAGGTAAATCATGCCTTTCATTTCGCTATCCACCATTAGATCTCTCCCGTGAACGTTCAAACGGCCAGGGCCAGCCTCCAAACGCTGAACACGGTGGACCGGAGCCAAAGGCGGAACGATGCCGGTCCTTTTCGGTGATCCGAGGTGTCAAGGAATGAACGAACGCGGAAGTGGGGTGGTTTGACCGGAGCTGATTCACCACACGAAAAGTGGAAATTCTTCGCAAAGTGAAGAGAACGACGTAGAGTATAAGGGGGCTGATTCACCAGAATTGGAAGACTCTGTAGAATAGATTGAAAAAAGTCCTGGGTGGGGTGAACAGTATTAAGTGGCAGCCGAAAGAAGATGCCACATAACCCAAGCGGGGTGCGTGGCTGGGTGGAACCCACAGACGCTCCGACTTGCGAAGAATCCTGCTGAGTTGTTTTGACAACATTCCCCTTTAGATCCAAGCGAGGAGTAAAGATGAGAAGAATCAAGTGCCGAATCTACAAGTGAGGCTCGGGTTCCAAGCAACTTCCTACCCTGTCAGTTGACAACCTGGAAAAAGTTGACCACCGGTAACCTTGATTTTCCAGGGATGTCTGGTTTGGGGACTTCAGTGAATCCTTTGTGGGAAGAGGTTGGTTCCGGCCCATGGCGTTGGCGACAACACCAGGCTGCCGCCTTACCGAAGCACAGGCCCAGTCGTGTTCGTATCCGCTCGTGTTTGCGTCGAGTGGAACCACGTTGACGTGCGACTTCCAAAACTTCAAGGGTCCTTTGACAGAAAGCAGATGTGTTGTGGAGGTGTCTATGAGTTTTTGCTGGAGACAGAGCCCAAGACCAGTCGCCAGAGAATTTGCACTTTGCACATGAAATCAACTAGTAACGATGGCCTCCAACCTAATAGCTTAAATAGCTTTCTCTTTTGCCGAGAGACATCGCCGAATGAAACCACAGCTCCGCCAGCTTTGACCACCTTGAGCGAGCCTGTGGCCGTCCAACCGGACGCCCAACCGGCTGGCGCCTGCGCCTGGGCGGAAGAGGGGTGGTGTGGAGCATGTCAGGCTGCAAGCTTTTCGATGCCAGGATGGTCCCTCAAAGTATTTCTACATGTTTCTACTATCCACCCTCATGGATTTAGTGGCCGTAGCCATGTGTTGATTCAGAGCCCTGCCCATTGGCAGAAGATCTGGACATAGCAAATTGCCTGTGAAAAGTTCGTGATGGGAGTGAGTGTCTGGTTGGTCCATGGAGAATGCTGTTGGGACAGGCGCTGTTGTGTTTGCAAAGTTGAAGCGGTTGGCTAAGTGACACTTCAGGTCTTGTTGGACCTAACCCAGAGATCCAGAGAATGAAGTGCATCTTCACATTTATCACTTGCCATGAAACACTTCTACAGTCACCAATAGGTAGTCTCCAAAACACACGCGTTACTTCCTTGTCTTCGAAAGCTGGTTCACTCTCATTCTGATTTCGGACGCCGTGTTCTTTTTCGGAAGAAGCACGACCACCCCACTGAGGCGCCGAGCCCACGACCGCGCCAGGGCACTGAGAGCGCGGTTGAAGGGTCGCAGGGGTGTCGTAGAAGCCACTGCATTGGCTTGGTGGAGCAGTTGACCGAGTTCCAGTTGGAACATGTCAAGAGGTGCACGGTTCTTCATGTGCAATCGGTTGTGTTTTTGTTGGACTTTTGTTGATCATGGGACACACTTCACATTCACGCGGCTATACAAAAAAAGTAAGTCGGGTCAGAAGAATCGATATTTCACCGTGACTCGGGAGCTATGGCTGATTGCACTGCAGGTACGCGAGGTTTACGCCTTTGATAGGATGCAGGAGTTCCTTACATGGCCCAGGGCATCGCTACGCAGGCAGTGCCTAAGACACAAGAAGACAAGGCGGTCTCAAGAAGGTTGAAACATGGGTTGAGCTCCCATCGTGACAGATGGCCCAAAGAATGGGTCTTCGCGGTTTGCCAGCCGCCACATGTGGGTGAGGCCCGCATTCACGGTTGGAATGATGCGCGTAAGTGGCGTGTAGTGCTTCGTAGGTTAATGGGTGAATGAAGGAGACCTTCACCCAAGAGACCAACTGTTCTCGCTGCCGTCGCCCACCGAACCCCGCCTGTGCCGTTCACCCACCATCCGTTGCCAACGGCCAACGGCCAACCATCCGGTGCACTGTACGTCCTCCAAGGCTCTTGCGCTATTCATGGTCAAAGCGCATTCAAGAGGTGCAGAGCATGCTTTGTGACATTAAGACATCCGATTATCTGCACCAGTTGTTACTTCCCAAGCCACCAAGTTGTTGAGGCAGTCTACTGTAAACCGTTTTTTTCAGCGTCCAGGAATGACAGAATTTAGAAATGCTTTGGCTTCCCAACAGTAGCCCATTCAGAAGCGTTGAAGCTGGCTGGCTCAGGATTGCGACAAGACTTTTGGTTTGGCAGTTGAGTCTGTAAAGCAAATCCAAGACGCCAACAGTGTTGGCCTTCGGTTCGAGAAACTTGCCGGACAAGCATGCCCCAGCTCAAAGTTCTTGTCAGATGCGGCCAACTTTTGGTCGTTTCAAGATTACCGCCGTGTCAGAGTCTGCTGGCACAGCCGGCGTTTTCGATATGATGGAATCCATTGGTTGGAAAATCGAACGAGTGATATTCCTTGGAGAACGTCATGCCATAGTTTCAGCCAAGGATTGCCCTGCAAAGAACAAGTACAAGCTTGCGAGGTAGGATGGTCTCGCAGTCCCCATGTGGATCCACGCAGTCAACAGCAAAGCTTGCGAACCTTTCAAAGATAAGAATGTTCAGTTTCGCAGTGCCGACCCAGAAGGAGAACGATTTCACTCGAGAAATTGAAACAAGCTGGTGTGGAATCCTTTGCGACAGGTCTGCCTGAAACCGACTCTGCTTCTCAATGTGGTACCAGAGCTTCGCCGTTTGTATACATGTCTTCCTCCTTATGCGACCGAGTGGGTTGGATGCGCGTGGTAAGTGGCTGACAGGCGTATCCACCTGCTGTGGCCGGATTCGGTTGTTTCTCTTGTGAAGGAGGGCAAGCATCAGCTCGAGTGGTCCCTCGGCAGCTGAGATCTCTTTAGCAGCCCTTTTTGTACACGTCCTCCGGGGTTGTGCTGGGATCGGATTGGGGGGGACACCCGGCCCCCTCTATGCATGCAGCTGTCATTGGACTCAAGCTTCCTGAAATGGAAACAAGAGCAGCTGTGACACCATTCTGCCATGGTACACCTGCAAGCTTGCCTGAGGTCTTCGAACATGGGCATGTCCAACGTCAAGGTGGGATTGAGTTTCATGTTGAAGGGCTTGGAAGACTTGAAGCAAGACTGGTATTTCATAATGAAATGTTGTTTGGGCTGGAGCCCAATCCTCGCACGAGCTGAATTTGTCGATCCAAAATCGTACGTTCTTGAGCCCTTCCGTTCCCAAATCAACTTGACACAGACATGGGCCTGTTTTGTGGGGAGTGAGAACGCCACAGTAGCACACTGAGATAAGGATGCCTCAATAAAGAAGATCGATCATGTTTTTTTTTGGTGAACTGGCCAGGGGGGAGAATATGATGCACAGCTTTGAAGCGTTTCATTCGACCTTCCGGCTTTCGCTGAAAAGGGGCCGCTTCGGCCCGATGGGCAGATGCCGGCGCCGGTCAGAAAGCCCATCCGCGATTGGAGTGAGGAGACTGGGAACGATGGATGTTAGAGAGATTGGCCAGTTCATGCAGCTTCAGTTATCAGAAGGCCTAGAAGTCCTGGACCGGAAAACATGTTTCAAACCAGTGCATACCTCGATCATCCCTTCAGGGGATGGTCACTGGCGTTGTTAGGTCTTGCTTGACATGGAGAGGACATACAAAGGAAGTAGTGACCTGGTCGCAACACAGCAGAGTAAGACGTTTGAGAGAAGACTGTCTTGGAAATCTGAGGGATGAGCCGAAATCGGAGGGCTGACGCCAGGAAGATGTCTCGGTCTTCCTGATGAATCTCTCCACTGTCCCCATGGACATCATTGATGTGGTGCCGGACTCGGAGGGCAGAAATCCCAACCGCACGGAGCGAGACATCCGAATCCACAAAGCGGGTGACCGAAGATCAGCTAAGCAGCGTCGATGTTCTCAAAAAGTTGAAGTAAAGATAAAAAGGATGCAATTGGTTCAATTCAAGTGGTGACTAAGCAATTCGTCTCGGATCTGATTCCTGACCCAGCAGACCCCAGACCCGGCACTCAAAGGATGCATCGATAGAGACAACCCTTTTACTGAAGGAGGAAACAAAATCGCAACCAAAATAAGATGCTTCTTGTGAGGCCCTCTTAGTTTGTAAGTTCTGCTTCAAATCCTTGTTGATAGTAAGGCTCTGATTTTCTCCGCCTTGTAGTGCATCAATTCCCCCACAAGCCCAGCGTAGATGCCACCACGGCAGGTATAGGGACTGTCAGAAGAACTCTTGTGGAATTGACGCCAAAATAAATGCCAACTTGAAGAACCTGAAACGTTCTTCCGCTGGAAGTAATCTTCAATCAATCGAAGATCTTCAAGTGTAATGAGGGTAGTGATTCATGATCATTCAAATGATCTTCATTCAATGATCTTCATGGTACTTGAATCAACGTCTCCACCGTGATCTTCCAAGCTTTCCCGTGTGAGGTGCATGCTCATGCCATCACGGGAGCTGTGCTGCTCTCACTCACCGATGAGGACCCAAGATGTTCCGCCATCGACGAAGCTCAGGTGGTTGCGGTAGTTCTTGCAAAGGAGGTGCCTTAACTAGCGGAAGATCCACTATGTGCTTCACCGTAAACTTCCAGTGATCCCCTTTCCAATTGAGAGAAGGATCAGAACCATCCTCCCTCCCGAGCACATAATGTAGCTGTGTTTTTGCTGTAGGTGATGTTGGTGACGGAAAAAGGACCGGAAGCAGATCTCTTGGTGAAGGGCTTCACACGTGGTTTCTCCGGTTGAAAATTTCCAGCTGCCGACATCGAGGACTTGGAAGGGCTCAACATCGAGAAGTTTGGACACCGGCGGTGGGGCTGCTGAAATCACTGTTCTCCCGTGCGCACCGGTGAGGCTCAATGCGGGTTCTTCACAGCGGGTATCGGTCCCTCACAGCAGTGTTTAAAGATGTCTTATAGTCCAGTTGAGGAAACACTGTTGTCCCATACTCAATGATTCTTCAGTAGTCTTCAGATCCGCCTGTTTGACTCAGTTCCTAGATGCTTAGATGGGCCGAGGCTTTTGCTCTTGGCGGCCCAAGAGCTTCGCCGCACGGTGCAGGCGCGGGGAGGTCTTCTGCAGGTGTTTCGTATTGCTACTTTGTATAGCGTTACGTGGATGGAGACTGGTGTTGAGGAACAAATGTTGTGTTGAGTTCAGTCCACAAATCTGCCAGGGCAAATCCTGATGGAAATCAGTACAGACGGGCCATCCGAGAGTCCCAGTGGGAGGTCGAACTTGGTTTCTGAGCAATTCATATGTTTGTATGTCTCAGAAAAATACAAGAAAAGTAAATCACAGGGTCCTTTAAAATTCCTGCCAGATTATCAATGGCCCTCCAGCAAAACGGAATTCACTTAAAGATCACCGCCCTGCAGGCAGAGCGATCTGCAGGCCGGGGCGAAGTTCGTCCCTGGAGGGAGTGACCTTTCAAAGCAACCTCACACTTTCACAGTTAAGGATCAATGATTTTGGGCGTTCCAAGGCAGTTTCGTTGTTTGTTTTGGAGCCGAAAGTTACTCTTCTGGAGAAGCATGCATCGTCGGGGCAATTGGTGACATGAGTTTGGTATCAGGCAAGGATTGTGGATGGGTCATCAGGGAGAGAACGTACTTCACCTGACAATGTTAGTGCAAACCCTCATGGAAGCACAATCGTCCCAGTTCTTTTCGCTGCCGGCCGCGTGCTTCCTGCGAAATACCCCTTGCTTCAAACCAATGAATGTGTTCCGTTTCTTTAAGTGGTGTTTGGAGTCTAGAAGGATTGGCACAAGTGCTATTTGGATCTTTGGATGATCCATGAAGCTTTTGGCACTTGCAGTCTTCATGTGCCAAGAATTCTGAAAATGAGAAGAGGGCATCGATGGTGGTCTAGCGCTTCGCCGCCTGTTGTGAGGCGATCCTGGCATGATCTCGCCCAGCAGTTCTTTGGGGTCTGGAACTCGGTTGCGTGACTCCGACTTGCTCATGTTGTTTCGATTCAAACGGAGGAGTGGCAAGCGTTCGCTGGACATGTTGGCACCTTCATTTCGTTTGCACCGTTGTTTTTTCTGAATATGTCCAGCCACCGTCATTTAGATCTCAAAAGTGTACCACTGACTAGCCTGCTCGAACACCAAGTTCCAATCCCACCAAGTTCTGAGGGTACTCCTTCTTCAAATTTCAAAAGGTACTCAGAACTGGGCAATTCCCCATTTTCAACATTAGCTCAACTTGAACGAAAACACGACACTGAGAGATCATCCAAAACACCGTGTCCTTTTCGCAGAAATCCCGCAATGCAAAGCGTCAATCCTCAGGTCGGGAATTGTCCACAACCACAGGAAAATGCTTTGGAAGGCTATATGTAGAGACAGGACAAAAACTAGCGTGCATAGGCATTCAATCGAACATCACAGACTCCTCGTTGTTTGCTTCAAACACTAAGGAGCTGAGAGGAATGCGTATGATGATCCCTTTGTAACACAGGTGTTGAGGGAGTGGGATACCAGGGTGTGGAATATCAGGTCCAAAAGCCTCGATGTTGACATTGCGTGGTGTACAGTCTTCTTTGCGCCTCTAAAGCGTCGCTCTCATCCCTCAGGAGCGCCCAGGTCTCACAACCCAGCTCCTTGGACCGGTCAAAATCGAATCAGTTCGACGGGGAAACGGCTGGTGGCCCACACCCAGGCTCTCCTTTTGCGACACGCCAGGCATACTAGCCAGGTGAGGGGCAACTTCTGTCATTTGGGGAGAAAGGGTCAACTTGAGAAGTCAAGGGGGTCATGTACTTGTCATGTTTGGGTTGCTGCACTGGTTCATCGATGGAGTTCCTTGCAATGTTGATGGAAGATGGAGCAGTTTATACGTTCATCTGTAAATAGCAAAGAGCTGTGCAGACTCCCTCAACATCCCCTTCCAGTCACTGAAATCGGCTTCAGACAGCTTGGCTTGTGCCACCGTTGGGTTCATGTCTTGTGCTGCTTCGTTTGAGTGCAGCAACGCTACATACAGGTGATGTTTGCCATGGGAAATGATGAGAAACAGCCCAAACAGACGATCATACAATCTGATGATTGAATTCTGGTGCTCAGTTTTTCCAAAGCTTTTTGTTTTTTTCAAAGACTCGCGACCGACATGGTCTTACAATTGTGGAAGCACCTCAAGAGTGCGTAAACCAGATCAAAAAACAAGAAACTTAAAGGCGAGAGATGAGAGAACCTGGGAGCAAAGGACGCTACTACGGGCTCCTGGCCTTACTACCAGTAACAAGAAGCTACTAGGGGCTCCTGGCCTTACTGCTAGGAGCAAGGACGCTACTAGCAACAAAGGGCATCGCTAGGACGAGAGGTGAGACTTTGTGGGACTCGTTCGGTCTCAGGAATGCGGCTGGTGACTCCTTCAAGCGCCCAAGTGCGGCTGGTGGGCACGCAGAGCGTCCCGGCCGGGGCGCACAGTGACTGAAGTGTTCCCTGCCAGAACAAACTCCAAAACATGTTTGTTCTTTGTTCTATTTGACCTTGACACGAAAGCAACTTTGGCAGGTGAACAGGGTTTTCCGGAAAAAGAGCATCTTAACTTGGATTTTGACTAAATGTCCACCATACGAACTTGAGAGTGTCCTCATAGTTGCTCTTTTTGTGTCCTTAGAGGTGTAGGATACCCTATGAGCCCGATCTATGATTATATTTTACTTATGGAGAAATCCCATGATTCGCATTACTTTTGCAACGCTGTGACAAACTAATTCCGGAAACAAGTCCACGCAGGTGGCACCTGGCATGCCGCGAAGCGTTCCCAGGCAAGGGATGGCGGTGCTGTTCTGGCATGTCAAGCGGTCAATAAGATGTTCTTAGACTGGAGCAACCCTAAGAAAGTAAGCAGATGATAGATGTTTGTTGCTTTTTTGCTTTAAGCAGGATGAAGGCCAGACAGGATGCATGAAACCGTGTTGACAGAGAACATGAGCGCGCATGATGGGCTTGGAAGATCGTTTCGCGTTTGGCAAGGCATTGAAGGACGCGAGTGCGAGTTTCAAATGAGATTGCCATTGATCCCTTGGAAAATGACCTGCCCCCGCGCTGGTCAGAAAGGAATGTCAATTCACATGGTACTGTTAGTGGAGTTCAGTGAAATGCTGGGAAGAGGTCTCACTCTTGCAGCTAAATTTGCCTGCAGGTGATACAATCTTTGGTTTGGGTCTCTTCCCTGAGTTTTTGAAGATGAAAAGCGTCTTCTGCAAAAGGTGAAGAAAGGCAACCAGATTACAGGTATGTTTTAAAGGACTTGTCTCACTATACCAAAGGTTTGCACAATTTCCAAAAACAAAAATTGCAAACGTGTGCTGGTAAATCATAAACCTCTTTTGGTCCCAGGTCTTGGATACCTCAAGCAGCTGGAGCCCACGGAGGACAGCAATCAAGCAGCGGAGAAAAAGATGCGGGTTCTCAAAGTCCATGGCAAGAGCGAAGACCTCCAACCTAATAGCAAACAATATTGGACCATTATTTTCGTTTTTCTTTGTTTCTAATGGCGATGGCCTCCAACCTATTTTGGGAAACATGTTTGTCCTTTGTGTCTTCCTTCTTGCTGGTCTCGAGGCTGACAAGCTACCGTTGGTCTATCCGTCGTCAGGAGCTGTGCCGATGCAGGCTGCCGCGGGGAGTGTTTGGCTTGAAAGACTCCCAAAAGGACCCGCACCACCATGATGGCCTGACGGCTTAGCCAGCCCACGCAAGTTTACTAGTGCAAAAGAGAGGAGGGGGCATTGAAGTGATTCGTGTTGAGACATGCCCACCATACTGCCTGGAATGGAAAGGCTTGAAGGTACCTGGCCAGAGGCACTCTTGTGGGAATAGCAGACAACCTGACCACCAGTTGCGTGATCCCAAGAGAGGGGAGGTGTCAACATGTGTCCGCCCTCAGCGCATTGGCAGGGATTGGAAGCGGAGGGAAGGAGTGGAGAGGGATAAGACAGGAGCTCTTTTTCTTCTTTCCCATCGCTGCGCGCATTGTGGACGATGCCACGCGTCACAAATAAGAGGTGAAAACAGAGGTGAAGACCAAGATGGAAAAGGCCATCATACGTATGTACAAACGAGAGTGAGACAAGAGTGAGAAGCTAAGGCCGAAACTAAGCTGCACCACTCAGCATGCTCCCTCTCAGCACCGGACCTTCACGATGCAAGTGTCTATCCAGTCATTTCCTTCGAAGATCTCGAAGCACCACATTAACAAGACACTCTGTGGGTGTGGACTGACGAATGTGAGAATTGCAAAGAGTTGCAACCCTAGAGCGATGGGCTCCAACCTGATAGCAATGGCCTCCAACCTAAGAGTGGAGCCAACAGTCGCACTTGAAATACGGATGCGCACGGCGCAGGTGGTTCGCCGCCACTCCTGAGGATGGACTGAGCTGAGTGCAAAATCACCTTTGGTTTTTGTGCCCAGCCAAAAACCTGCAAGACACAGACTCAGCGAACACGTGCTTTGTTTCAAATGAAACTTCACTCAAGACCTGCTCAGAAGAGAGTCTGCATCCTGAATCTCGGCAACACATTGTCAGAGCAGAGCATGCTGGCTTGGCTCACACTTGCTCAAACACCTTCTGGCTTGAAATGAACCAAAATCAGGCATGTTCATCATCGGTTGCATTGAGATTTGCTTATTATGTCAGAAAGGACATCCCACACTTTGCTTGATAAGTGTCAGGTTTGGAGCGAATTATGTGTTGGGCCCAATTTGAAAACTATTTCGTTAACAACAATGTTTTCCTTAAGGTGTGGGCGATGGCCAACATCCAGGTTTGCTTCAGCATTGATAACCCTGGCTAATGCATAAAAAAGATCCATATATAATAATAAGTTTCCTCAAACAATTAATTATTGAGGTTCTATTTTATAAAGAAGAATACTTGTAATCCCGGTAGTAGCGTTCCGCCTTGGCGGCTGAAGAATGGATTTTATCGTTTTGTTTTTCCCGGGATGGAGAATCTAATTATGGCTGAAAATTAATTAAATTAAGAAAGGTAATTTGGTAAGGATTATTTTGAGCTTGTTTTACGAATTAAAGGAATTGATTTGAATTTTTATTATGAAAGGTAGCGATTATTATACATTATTTGAATTTCTTTTTGCTTTAGCAAAAATATATTAATTATATTTAGAATAGAATTTATTTGATTGAGAAATGGCTCTCGATATATTCGTTTATTGGGTCTTTTTTTTTCCCGGCTTTTATAATTCTATTTTGGCGCGTTTTAGGGTTAATGGGTCGAAAACACTATATATATTGGTGTTTTTAGTTTTTTTAATTTTTAATAGTGATCGAAAATTATGGAATTTATAGTTTTTTTATGGTTCTTCGGTAAAAAACACCGTAAAAACCGAATAGAATAATTATTAAAAATTAGGAAAGATTTTATTGGAAAGGGATTTTGAGGCTTTTGGGTTTTTGGAGGCTTTAAAATTGTATAAAATTATGGTATTTATATGATTTTATGTATTTTGGTAAAAAATGCCGTAATTTTTATATGGTTTTTTGCGTTTTTTAGCATATAATCGTGGTGCGTCTTTGGATTGGCGGTTGTAAAACACCGAAAATGCTTATATATTTAATTCCTCTTGTCTTTAAGTATGGCTTTAAACTTTGTCGCGGCCATGGATTTAAAGAAAAAACCTCGTAAATATTAGTGTTTTGAGTTCGTCTTATTTACAAACTAGTAATTTCTTTTTTAAAAATTGGGGGGCCTCTTCTTGAATTACGACTGATTCTCTGCTTTTTTTTGTTTATTAGCCGCTGGAGCTGGATGCCTACAAACGAACAAAAAAAAGGAAAATTTATAGCCGTTATATAAATATTAAGAGACTGGCCTATGACCGCACGGTTGAATATTAGAATTAAATCAACCGCTCATTGAATTATAAGAACGAA